AATAAAATTATATAAACACAAAAATGATCATTCTAACTCTTGAAAGGAGGGTTCAAAGTTTCCACTTCTTTAGCCACATCCCTCCACGCATCCAAAAAAGAAGAGGAAAAAAAAGTCAATTCAAATGAAAGGAGAAAAGGAGGAAACTCAAGGACAATATCAGCAGTAGAAGCAAACCAATGACAGAAATGAGCAACAATATTCATTTAAATACGAAGTCGGATTAGTTGAAAAAGTAAAAAAAAAAGAGAGAGAGATACCAATTAGTCATGGTTGTTTCCAAGTTTCAATCAGTGTCATAGCTTTTTCATAAAATCAAATGAGCCAAAAAGGCATATAATTTGATCTGTAAAAGGCTTGGATCATATTCCGCTGTTTTTATATACTCTAACAAACATATCAGACACCAAAATATTATTTAACATTCATATTTTCCAGCATCCGTAATATAGTGATCAAACACAAAAGACTCAGATTAACCATAAATAATTGATATTTATAAGCATTTTTCACCAAAGAAAGGTATTGGATTTAGCCTTCAAGGGACTCAAAACGTTTTATCTAACCAGATTACGCTAGTTCTTCGTTTCCAAACACATCCAATGCTTAAACTCTTCCAGTCAATGCATCCATAAAAATCCAGAAGTTCCTAACAAATTTCATCTTCCATCACCATCTATTAGCAATCAAACGTAAGTAACAGCAATCAACATGAAGAAAAAAAGCCTCTAAACACATTGAAACCAATAAATAAATGAAGCTCGACAAACAAATAGACCTTAGAAGAAGATCTACTCAAGCTCTTGGAAAACATCAGCCTATTCGACCCTGGCGTCGGTGGAGCTGAGGTCCAGTCCGCCACCGGCGACAGGAGAGCAGCGTCTGAGTGCCTATAAGAAGACGGCGGCAAAGATCCTTCCTCCTCATCGTTATCGGCTATATTATTACTTGGTGTATACACGCACAGATTCAAACCAAGTGCAAGCTTTACTTTCCTCCATTTACTCCCCATTTGTAACTCTCTCACACCAAAACCCCAAAATGAAGCTTTTCAAGAAAATCCAAGAAAGTATGCTATTCTCTCGTAATGGGTCTTTTTTCAAAGAGAGAACAAACGGCCCTTTTCAAGAAAATGAATAAGATCAAAACAAGGGCAGTTCTTTAAAATGGGTTTTCTTAAAAGAGCAAACGAAGTAGAAAATAATCAATTTTTCTTCAAGAAAGAAACGAAAATCAAGATGGACAAAGCAAGTGTTTTCCTTGTTCTTGAAATATAAGAGATGAAGTAAAAGATCAGAAATAGGGAGAGGAGAAGATGAGTGAAGTAGCTTTACTCTTCTTCTTGGCGGCCATTATAGAGAGGGTAGTTGAATAATGCTAAATGAACAGAGAGACGTGAGCTGACCTTTTGCTGTTTGTTTTGTGTGCTGTTTGATGGGCTGTGGGTTTTTGACCTTGATTGTGGTTTTTGTCTGAAATAATTTGTATAAAATAAACATTTTTTAAATTTTTTAATTATTTTTGTGAAATGTGTAGAATAATTGTGTATAAATTACATTTTTGTGAGTATGTTTTTACATTTTTTTCACTTTTCCATTTTGGAATAGAATGTCTGATTGTCGGTACAAGGACAACCACGAACCATGTACTAATTTCCTACTAATATTAATAACTCAATATTGCAAGGACAAGAGTGAAGTAGTCTCGATTGAGTTGGCAGCCGCAGTGTGAGGATTCAATTCCTAACTCTTACAAGGTATGAAATTTGATTCTTTGTGAGCACCAGTAGTCAAGCTCTTGTATTTTAACCTATTGAGACACATCCCACGATTTACCTCATTCACCATACTTTAGGAGGCGGGGAGAGGCCTCAAGGTTGGGGTTCAACCTTTACTAATATTAAACTCACTTTTTGTTCTAATTGTTGGAGTAGATTGGACGCATCAAATTGCATTTTTATTTGATTCGAAAGACATTTGTATCGAGAGGTATAGACCGTTGCAAAATAATGAAGCATTGGAAGACTGTAAGTGATTTTTTCTTCTTAAAAATTACATTTCTTCTTACAAAAACTGAATCGTTACAACATAAAAGTTTTTAAATTATACCTAACAAATCTAAATATTATTGAGTGGGACATATATAGAAGTTGCTTTCGTTGTCCAATTAATCTTTTGTAGATATGTTTTGACTATTATAATGTCAAGTTGTTTGAAGAAAGTGGATAATGGCATTATTCCATTTTGGACATGTTAGTTGAAGAAAAATAATTCCAGCCCATGATGACTTGTAAGAAATATTATTGTTGGGCATCAAAGGGTCTAATGGTGGGATTTTTCTAATCACCTATTTACCACTTGATTTCATCAACACTCTCCCCCCACACTTGCCCACGTATCAAATTCTTGGAATTTTTCTTTCAATTTACTCTTCTCTTCTTGAAATGAAATAAATTTGGTAGAATAAATGCAAATAGTGATCGATATTTTTAACTTTATTTGATAATTTATAGGGAATTTTATATAGATTTGAGATTTCTCATAACCCTAAGGGGTTGTTCAATTGGTCAGTCTTTGGTTTACTCCCCAATGGTCACCAGTTCGAGTCATTTCAGGACCACTAAGGTGAGTACCCGACCGTAAACTTCAAGGCCATGTGGAATTAGTCGAGGTGCTCACAAGTTGACCCAAACATCCACGATTATCAAAAAAAAAAATTTAGATTTCTCATGCCTTGGAAGGAATTTGGTGTACTCATTTTGACAATAATTTTAAAATTACAAGTAAAAAAGTAAATTTAAAAAAGTAAATTATTTTAGTTTATTTAAAAATTAAAAAAATAACTTTTTTAGCCCCTGTTTGGTGCATATTTTGTGTCCAATAGTGCATTTTTTTGTTTGATGTGATGGAGAATATGTGATTAAAAATGAAGAAAAAGTTATTGATGTGATGGAAAATATTATTTTATTGAAGAATGTGTGGTTGAAAATGAGTAGAATAATGAAAATAAAAAAAATAATATATCTCAAACGGGGATTAGTTCGTTTAGTCAAAACGTCTTCTTAATACATTGTCCATTTTATAGAACAATTTTTTTTGATTATGGTGATGCTTAAAAGTTGTCGTATTATTGTCTATTTTTAAGGTCGTCGAATTGGGCACCTTTAGTCAAAGTTTTGGCACTCGAGGACTTTGTTTATTTGGTCCACAGAATAAGGATTAAAAAAATTAAAACATTTTTGCAACTACCAAAACTTTTGTTTTCGATTTTGGTTTTCTGTCTTTGGGGATATTGCTAAGGAATAGTGATATTACATAACATTGTTCTAAGCAATGAAGTTTTGGCACTCGAGGTCGAGGACTTAGTTTATTCGATATTACATAATATCGAATAGCCAATAAATTAATTTCATGCTTTTATGCACAAATTAAAACTAAGCAATGAACTCTTGATATGGATAATAAACCAAGAAGCGGATTTTGTACAACATATTCCTAATTGGAGTCTTGATATGATTTCTATCCATATCACTACAGGAAGTCAATGCTTGAAGAGTATACCTAAAAACATATGAAAATTACAAAATCAAAGAGAAACCCACTAACTTTATTCTCGATAAATGCAGAGTCAGATGCCACAAGTTTTTTTTTTCTAACATTTTGTACAATCAAGCTCGCAATAACAACTATTTGCACATATCGAATATCGAAAACGTATCAAGAGCTAAAGGGGAATACTAACATTCATTGAAATGTTTAGTTGCAAGATTTGTCAATGGGGAATCTTCATAAAAATACGACTCTGTATTCCCACTTCAAAAAGACAACCTTTTAAAAGGAATAATGCCTGTCTTTTTTAAGCTTTAAAAAAAAAAAGAGGAACATTCCCTTCCATCATAAAAGAACATCAACTAGGAACCAAAACAGTGACTCCTTTTCATTTCACTCCTTCTTTTGAAGGCACACATGCCTCCCAACCCAACTTTTTATTTTTATTATTTTTGTGATTGCTATATATATGTGTGTGTGTGAATGAGAGCGAGTTTTTTGCAATGAGTAGAGGCCAGTTATCATATTTGATTCAGCTATAAAAGTAAATTTTTATATAAATCAAAATTAATATTTAATTTGAATCCCATGTTTCAGGAGAATCGCAGTTTTTCAATAACATATTTTGTCATTTTTTATCAAAATTTATTCAAAATCTGATTTTTTTATCTACGTGTAAGGCTAAGAGAGAATCCTATCAACTCACTTTGCTTGAGAATGGATTCCCTTTTACTACCACAAAATTAGGCAGGCTTTCTTCGACAAGTCAACTACATAGCTAACTTTTTTCCTCCTAATTTTTAAAAATTCTTGCACAAAACCCTATTCTCTGCCCTCTCTCGATAGGGTCGTCTAAGTTTATATTGAATATGTAGCACAATATTAGATAAAATTAAACAATATAATCACACAATAATTAAATAATTGACCTCAAAACAAACATTTTTATGTGATATGTGTGTTCATACATGCATACATACATACGAGAGAGAGAGAGAGAGAGAGAGAGAGAATCGTAATAAACAACCTTTGCTAAAGGGATTCCCTTTTACCATCCCTAAACTTGGCAGACTTTTTGGGGCAAGTCAACTACAAAGTTTACTTTTTCAAACCAATTTTTCAAAAATTCTTACACAGAACCCTCTCCTCTGATGGATTGCCCAGCTCTCTCATTAAGGTAACAAAGTACGCATTAGACAGTGGACCAGTATTGAACACTATCAAACTCTGAAGTACAAAATTCCAACTTCTTTTTCAAATTCGAGATAATCTCGTCCAGTACTGCAAATCAAATATATCGAAACAGCAGAGTCTCATTTACGTGCATATAAATTAGTATAACCCCTTCTCAATTTCCTATAATCCAAGACTACTTTAATTAATACACCACCTTAACCATGATTTAGGGAAAACAATAGAATCTTATGAGCTTAGTGCTTATATAAATTAATCAAAAACTTACTTTTTAATCTAAACTAGTGGAGGATATAGATGATGATGCTCAAAAGATAATGCAAAGTGTGAAGCATTTTAAGTTAGCTTTCTATGATACTTTTTCTCTCACAATAATTATTTTAAAGACCTGTGTTGCCATGCATATCCTTTACAGTAAATCAAGTTTTCGAGTGTAGCTTGCCTTAATCATGATGTCACATGTGTGCTTCTCATCAAGTCAAACCTAATCCATGTCCATCCATATGTGGAGGGTCCCTTTGTTGTATGTGTGTGTATAGCAATAACATGTCCAACGAGCTGGTTGGAGCGAGCATGAGATGCTATTTATAACTGGTAGAACATCACACGTAAAGGAGTGGCTCAATGGGAGTACGTCGCCAAAATAAGATAATGAATGCTACTCTCAATTCAATAATAATAACGGGGTCTTCAAATTGACTTAGACTCAAAATATCTTTACTTGAAAGATTTCAATAAGGTTATATGTTCACTGGAAAATTATATGATATGCCTTTCTTTATTCGTGTTGAGTCATATTTATCTTGCATACCAAGAAAATCGTGAATGTTGACATACAAAGTAATTGAGTATTAAGTAAAATGGGGATCTAAACGAAAAAAGTGTGACCTAATACTCAATTAGATTTTATTGGTAGGGCTATTCTCTAGCACGAGATGCAAAATTGATGCACATTTTGATTGATTAGACATCCGTTGACAATTTTTGAAATAGAGATCGATTATTTCAACCTTAATCA